CTAGTTTTCTACCTAATACTGCCATCACCATTCGTCAGCGGGATTGATCTATGGAGCACAAATCGGCATTGAACCCAGTTAAGCTGAAGCTGTAGTTGACATCACAATGTTAACCGTTCATTTTCTGCCTTTATTATTTTCCACAGCATGTTATGACGTAAAATACAACCACAACGATGCTGAAGTATTCCCAAAACTTGTACCCAAGGCCAGATCGAGCCACAATTTTCCTTTGACATGAGTTTGCTGTCTTACTCTTCTTTTCATAGAAGAGTTGACATTACGGCTAAACTAGCCTTCTTCAGAGCCTGGAATAGTCAAGTTGACCGCAATTTGGTCGGCCAAACACCATAGCAAAGGAAAAAATGAGGAAATCGAGATTTCAATCATTTCGAAAGCAAACAGCTTCTTCACACAACCACCACTTTCCATGAGTGTTTCCACTGAGTATTTGGCGTGGAAACTAACGGCATAGAGTTCACATGGGTGAGAAGTATGCCTATCTCATGTTAAAATATCAGTCTTAAATGCTGCGTGAGATCATGTTTGACAACGAGAGATTTCTCCTTGCGGTTACTTTCTAGATTCTTTGAATTTATTCAGAATGCTCGTGAGTTGTGCACGGATGTCTTCAGATCCTGCGCAAGAGTGGCAACTTCTATTTCAATATCGTCTCCGTTATATTTGTGTGTCCCTTGCGCGCCTAGTGCAGTACTTGGACTAACCTTAAGTTCCGAATAGCTGTTCTTTTATACAGATACACATGGTTTACCCATTTTACCATATATTCGCCCGCACTCCCCCCGCTTTACGAGAGACCAGATAAACCGTGCCCGGACTCATTCAATCACCACCTCAAACGTTAGGACATATTACACAGCTTTGCATTGTGCATAGGCCGTCATACGAACGGTTATGAAATAGCCGGCATTTGGGAGTGCTGGATGGTATTTCGATAATTGCCACCGGGTTCTCTAGACCACCCCTTCTTGAGCAACGTTTTATAGCTTCACTTATTCCGTTGGAAATAGAGATGGATAAAAGGAGCCTCATTGTCGCTGGAGTTCTCGTTTTAGGCGTGATATTTCCTCTACAGCCACCCCGAAGAGCCACAGTTTCGTTGGAAACGGCTATTTGCTGCACCGATTTCCTGGACTCTTTCTTCCGCCCTGTTCCTGTGCACACATTATTGGCTTTTCGAAGCACTTTTCTTATAAGCGTCCTTTTTCTGTATGAGGGGTGAGAGGAGAGGCAATGAACCAGTGGAATTTTACTAGTTGGATTTGGGTATAATTGCGTAATGCAGTCGTTATCATTTAGGTTAATTTGAACACTCAGAAATGGAAGCAAGTTTCGTATCGGTTTCGTTCGGGTAAACTTAACGTACTCTGGCTGTTCGCTCAACAACTCAAAAAATGTGTCCATATCCTCTTGTGTTGATGAATGTTAGTAACATATACAATGGAAATGATTTCAGAAAGACCAAGTGGGCTTCGAAAACTTTCGAAGCAGACCACCGTCATTGATGACGTTAGGACGAGAGGGGAAAGAATTCAAGTTATGGTGGGGCCCCATACTACCAGTGGAGGAGGGCAATCGAAGTGTTCAACTATTTGTGAGGAATTTGGTTGGATTAAAGTGGTTACAATATGAAGATGGTATTTCGGTGGTTCACATGGATATGAATTTCATTGGAGACGTTTTATACTGAATTTTCATCTATGCAAAAGCCAAAAGTCTTCTGAGAATCGCCTAAAATTTGGGCTAGGCTCTGGCAACCAGAATGTTTCCTGCATGACTAAGCTTAACCCTAGACTGTCATAATTGTGCTTCTTTGTAAACGATCGACGTCTAGCCTTATTCAGAACCACGGTGATTCGAGTATGATGTTCAAAGTAATTGTCTCTTTATGCGGTGTTCGTTGTCATATGGAGTGGAATCGAGCGAAGGCATATACCGAGGAACACCAGTGAATCGCATCGAATGTTCACGTAAATGAAAGCGGTTATAATTTGAAGCCGTAATAAAATGTAACGCACTTCATTATGCCGCTACTCTCATTTATCACGCCATGAAAGTAAAGCAAATTACTGTCATTTGACAAACTGCCAAGATAATAACCCGGATATTTCCCAACTTTAAAAGAATCCTGACTCTGAAAAGAAAAACACCTTTTTTTGTCCACATATACCGTTTTTTCCAGCCATAGGCTAGGCCTGTTGGATATGGATATCACCATTTCCCTTCTGTTATAACTTTCTCTACGACTACTCCTTAACTATTAAAGCGAGTACTTTTGGATAGAACCGTATTTGACAAACTGATTTTTCTTTTACTTCGTCATGACTAATCAACATCTGTTTAGATCGTTGAGCGTACACAAGGCTGTTAGAAGGCGCGTGTAGCGCAGTGGTCGGAGGAACCGTGCAGTACACATGGAATCTATCCCCAAGTCTCAGGCCAACCAGGTCCTCCATTCCCTGAGGTCCGCAAATTGGTACCAGACTTGTCTAGTAGAACAGCAGCACTTGAATCGGTAGGTTTCCAGGAGTCATTATTAAGGCCAGATATGAATTTAATCACCTCCAACAATGCTTAATAAAGTCGAATGCACGGCGCATTCCTCAGGGATTGATCAACGCTTAAAGCTTCATCTTTATTTTTGTAAAGCAAACAAAAACAAGAAGTAAATTTGAAAAAACATGTAAGTTCAAGGAGTGAACAATATTGCAAGCAAAAATATGAAGCTAAAAAGTGGATGCACGACACGTATTGAAAGGCATTGCGAAAACTAGATAGGAGCAGTTCGTTCACGAAAAACGAAAGCAAAATAAAAATGATACACGCAACATCCAGTAGATTGAAGAAACGATTTTAAAACAATCTTAACCTTTTTTATTTACTGCCTATGTTTTTTAACGGCAGACTGAGAGACAGGCGAAACGAAGGACCCGCATGGTGTGGTGGTGAACGCGTTACTCCCCGGAAAGGTCAATAGCGCGCGTTCGTTCCCCACCGCAGACACCTGCGGTCTGGAGTTTTGCAAATATCCCGGCATTACAATAGTTAGAATCCAAAACATTTTGCAAGGCCTGAAAAAAAATTTGTTGTAAAGAATTCCATGGCTCCAAAAAAGAACTTGTGGAGAGATCTGAGGCAAGAAAGGTGGATACAGTGAAAGTCGCAAAGATGACATGGGGAAATCAGCTTAGCATAAAAACATGCAAGCTCGCCAATACTATTTAATGCCACTCATTAGCACCAGAGTAAAGGCGGTTCGGAACTCGTGGATGGAGGTGAGTCATTTTAGATAAACAATTTTTATCTCACTAGTGATTTTTGCCGTAACAAGGTTTGAAAGCAAGCCGCTACAAATCACGGCTAATTATTGCATCCCGTGTGGAAATATGAGCTTAAGCTGGAAAGTAACGAGGACGGCTATTAAAATAAACAGTTAGGCTCCTAACAGACGCTCAAGGAAGCTATTATATGTTAGTGATGTGGATTGTGGTTGGTAACATTTTGACCAATCTTCACCCACTACGCTAGAAATAGTAGTCTCTGGGTCTTCCTTTTTGCAAAGTTGAGAAATCGAATGCTCCGAGCAGCTTTAAAAGATAAAGGTTAATCTCCCGTCAATGGGTTAATGGGCGGTCAGAAAGACAATGGTCGATGTCCGTGGAGAATAGGACGGATAGTTTTGTGCTCTTTGTATTCTTTAAGTGCTTAGGTACCGGTGACAACTTTGACACTCAACATGGACAAGCTGGTGCTATACATATGCATGCTGAATCCACTCAATCAACAGCAGAAGGTGACGTACTACAATAGAGAGGTTTTCAGTACCTAATCTTTTTAGGGTGTTTCCCGAAAATGCCTAGAAGCCTGGAATGTGTAATAAAATTTCTGTAGTTTTTAAAAATTTCTCGGATAGTAACTATTTATATCAATGCTACTCAAAATTGACTATCTGGTAAAGGATTTTGTGTCTACGTCTAACATTCCTATAAAAAAGAATTTTTTTGGGCTTCTAAGAAATGAAGCATGACGATCCAAGACATAATCATGGAATACGACATAGAAATGCGGATGGTTTTGGGCTAATAGTACACCTTAATATTTAAAGGAAAGGACCTTGGCATGGTTCCACCGTGACCCACTAACCCTATTTTTCCTCCAGCGTTAGGGGCTTTGTTTCAGACTTGTCTGAGGACAAAATTATGTGATGTACTTGTAAACTGCGACATAATGGCTACAACTTTGGAAGGGGATCTCGTCTTAGCTTAGACAAGTTTTCTATCAGCAAGGAGTCAGCGAATTTGAGCCGAAGAAGGATGATGTGTAATCCTGCTGCTGTACATTTTACCTTGTGAAAATCGTTATGAATATCTCTATTTTATGGAGGGCTGTTAACTTGAAACGCGAAAGAAGAAACATCTACCATTTATCTGGGATGAAGCAGTGGACCAATAAAAGCATGAAGCATAAAGCCTTCGGCGTTAATCGATGCCTGATAGAGATTGGACTTCATCAGGCATAGTAGAGGTGATATCATGCATGTATGGGCTAAGTAATGATTTTCTCTGGCCTACCGATGAATCAAGTTGGTGTTTTTAGCCCGTTAGTCGATTAGGGCACTTATTTCCTGAGTATGATGGGATGAAGGCTTGGCGAGCTGGCGCGAGGAATCGATCCAATGACCTACAATGTGTGTATGGCAAGATGAATCTAACCACTGCAGAAGATGGAAGAAAGTCAACTTCGTTTCAAAGCTTTCTTTTCATTACGTTGAAAAAACAGAGATGCATGCGCTGAAGAGGGAAAAATGAAGAAAAAATTGTGAGAAATAAGCATAACAATTCATCACTGGTGTACACATGTAGGAATTGCTTACATTAATTTTATAGTGTGTAAACATCCAATCACTAAGATCACCGATAACAACTGGGTATATAAGCAGCTACGACTTTTCGACTTCATTGTCGATTCGTTTGTCATTAATGGGTACTGCTTCATCAACTCCAGAACCACTACCACAGGTGTGAACTTCTGACTAAGTGAAAAATGTAAACTTTTCAATTTTGATAACTACACTATTCAGACAGACGGTCCGAAGGCACAAGATGAGAATAAAGAAAAACCAGCCAGCGAACCACCACTAGGGGTGACTTCGTAAAAAATCGAAAGCAAACTTTTCAGCCTAGATCACTCCACTGTTTAGGAGGGTCAAAAGGAACCAGATGCGAAAGCAGGGAAGCCAGCTGGTGAGCCGATAACGAACGTGAGTTTATAAACGTCAGAACGCCTATTTTTTCAGTCTCAATCACCTCATTGTTAAGGAGGAAGCTCAGAAGACACCAGACGAGAGAGTAGGAAGGCCAAACGATACACTTGCAGCGAAGGTAGTTTCCAATTTGTGCTTCCCAGATAATTTTTCTTGAGGGATGATTGCTGGTAGCATCAGCGGAGTAAAAACAACACTGAAAGGAAGGCAAGGTTAGAGTCTCGGTTGATGAGATGGAATGCGAGTGAGCTTCCGGTAGAGGCAATCGCGGGTTCAGCGCGCATCCAAGTTACCAGCATTTGGTTTTATATTAACATCTTAGCAGACATAGTTGTCCTTACACTTTTACATGTGATCTAATGAGGAGATTTGGCATGTGAGTGCGTGCAATTCGCCTTGTAACGTGGTGCTGGGTCTCTTGCAACAAAGAAAGACTTGTAGCTCGGTAACAATCCTAGCATTAGATGGTTTAATTGCTTTTTTAATATCTAATTACATAAGAAGTCTCAAGCATTAGAGCAGTGATTAGAGGCACACTACAATACACAAGAAGATTGATCCCGCCTTATAGGCTTCCCAAGACTTCCATCCCTCCGAGTTGGCAAATTGGTACCAGACTTGTCTAGGAGGATAGCAGCATTGGCCTGGTACTTCGATAGGTCCATTAGCCAATGTGCAGGGCGGATATGCATTCAGTCATGTCTGACGATGGTTAGCAAAGTTGGCGCATCCTTCTGGGATTGGTCAAAGCCGAGAGCCTTGTCCTTTTATTATTATTTAAAACGCCTCAGCGAGGGCATATTGATGGGCAATTTACTACGCCCAACGCTTCATTAACACAAGCAGAAAAGCGAAAATCTAAAGGTAATCACACGGTCAGTATGCACCAACTCGTAAACTTCTGGAGGCTTTTTGGATAAATATCAGAAACCCTAGAATGAATATGAGGGAAGAATGCTCCGAGATAACACATAGTCTAACCCCGTATCTCAGAATTGATTTTTGATGAGGGATGGTGCAGTGGTCAACCATATGCGACTCTGGGCGGCTATTCTTCCTCGGTGGAAGGCAGGCAAAGGAACGGTTTTCGAGTATCTGGTGATCGTGTGGTTATTGTCCAGTTTTTCATCCTTCTGTTTGTTTGAAATGTTTGACCTTGTAAATTGCGTATCAGTGTACTCTTCCAGGCTCTGAAGAAGGCGATACTGCCGAAACGTCCGCTAGCGTTGTGTCGTATGTGTTCTATGTGTAAGGAAGTAAACGTGTGCTGGATAACAGCCTTGTGATTACTGAAAAAAAGAGGACGATTACGGTCCACCGTTAGGAAATGCTGCTGAAACTTGACGCACATTTCGTTTGACGATCTTAAATCCTCATTAAGCACCATGAAGAACGTTAAATGATGGTAAGGATCCACCCGAATAAACCAATAGCATCAACAATTTTCAGGAACAGCGCATCTCTTCGTCGATAGTACCTGCTGAAGAAGCCATGCGAACGCAAGAAATGGTAGACGAAAGTGAAACAACGAAGCAAGCGGAGAATAAGCAAGGAAGCGGTCTTTCTAGAATGGAAGAAATGAAGAAAGCGCCCGAAACTCCACAAGAGGTTGCGAAAAAACCCATCACCGATAACATCCAACTACCACTTCCTCCTGACCGGCAGCCAGTCACGCAATCACCGCAGTCTGCTTCTGTGAAAACAGCACTTATTGATCAAGTCGAACCATCTAGGGAAAGAAAGGAAACAACTAATATAAAATCTTCTGTGATCGAAGGCAAAAATTTGCTTCCTGAAGAAAAGACTCAAGAAGTATCCAAAGAACTTCAACCACCACCTCCATCTCAAGGCTTACAATCAACTTCAGCACCATCGCTTGGTCCTGAGCTTAAAAAACCTGCTACAGAAAAAGTGGTAATTCCTTCCGAGAGAAAGGATAAGTCTGTTTTAAAGCCTCCTGATAAGCAGCCAGCCAAAAAAGTCCCTCCTTCACAAGCAACTGGCTTGGCTGAGAAAACTGCTCCTAAAGCTCGCTCGGCTGAAAAAGTCTCGACATCACGATCACAAATCCAAAAGCTAAAACCACCTGTAAAAGGAAAACCACGGTCAAAAGAAAGCACTCAGTCGAAGTCATTGTCACAAGTTCTTCCTGTGAAAAAATCTCCCAGCACAAAGGCAACAGGTCCTGCACCTAAGAAAGAAAAGTCGGCTAGTAAAGAACTTACAGTTCCAAAAAAAACCAGCACGAAAAGAGGAGTCGCGGATTCGAAGACTAAGGACAAAAATTCGGTAATTATTTTTTTTAAAAAATTAGTGGTTGAAACTGCAAAATGTGAGACTGACTTATTGATGAATGCGTTTTAGAAGAAGAAGCCCACCAAGTGAAACGTGAAGTGGAAACACTGAGATAGAATTCTCTTGCTTGAAAAGGTTAGTAGTGTAGAAAGCTTGTAAGGAACTGATCTTTAATTCAGAGGCCAAGAAGTGCTAATCCCTAGTTTGAAATAGCCTTGGTAAACTTTCAAGACCCTCGGACCCTCTATTAAAGTTTTTGTCTTCTTACACACACTTTGAGTGCTGAACTCATTGCCCTACCTCAGCATGTAATTCGTGGATGTCCATTATGCAAACCTTGTTTAGAACACAACATAAAAACAAAACGCTTTAATGGTTATTCAAAACGATGATCTCCAGAAGGATAAAAAATAGTAGAAAGCATGAAGAGTGCACGTTTAGCGGCAACAGTAATGCAAACAGAGCAGTACAACCTGTCCTAAGGTGAAGGCATCAGGGGCGAAGTATTGTTTTCTTCGAATTTCATCATTTGTCAGCTACAATTCTGCTAATAATCAAGTATTCAGAGCGGACATCGGCAGCTTTCTTTCGTTTCTGATGTTCGCCAGAGTTACCTAATGCGCCAGTTCTCCTTTCATTTAAGGAAGAACAACATCTCATACTACCCATTATTTTTTGGTACACTAGGTTCGTAGTGGTTATGTGTACGTCCTCGGATAGCTTATTGCTTTCTAGCAGTATCGTTGTAGGGACACTTTCTTAGAGGAGGTCTTGATTTTCTAGAGAAGGTCTTGAATTGTCATTACTCTACTACATTTCGACCTACAAAAGATACAAGATATTAAACACCGAAGTAAAAGCATATACGTATACAATACAGCGGTATTGTTTTTGCTGAACAATTATTTACCGATGTGCCTGAAAAAGTAACGAGTTTGTTGCGTGTGAACGAGCTTCGCAACCCAACTGCTTCAACTTCTACACCGCTGGTTATACGAGTCGAGCGTTGTCCTGCAACAGAATTGGTTTCTTCAAATGATCAGTGTCGGAAGCAGACGTTTCACTTCGTGGTGCACTTTACTGATATCTTAAAACACCGCTGAATTATTTCAATCATAAGGTACCATTCGATTTGAGTCCTTCGGAACTTCATCTTTGTCCAACTTTCGTCAACTGCTGTATAAAATCCAATTCTCATCGTTTATTACAATACAGTGCAGAAACGGTTCGTTTTCTTCTCGCTTTCTCTTCAATTAATGCGGCACTCGTTTGGCGTTTTCCTCATTTTCCTTTCTGACTCTTTTGAAACTGAACAAATGATCGAGTTACTAGTTCTTAAAAAACTGTCAAACCGCGTGGATTCGGGTAAAAGGACGTACAAAGTCTTCAGACATATTCATGACTTTATGCATCGACCTCAATACATGTGTGATCGAAGGCAAATTGGTCGTTCTTGAACATTAAAGGACTAGATCACACCCCGTAGTGCTGTGTATTAATTGAAGAAATAGCTGCTGAATATTTGCTACCAATAAGAAGGTTTTCTTCTTCTTTCATGATGAAATTCCAATTCTCTGGAACCAATGAGTCGTGACGTTTTCTTCTCGCTTTTATTCGCCGAACATCGCATATGGAGTAGCGAAAACGATTGAATAGAGCGCTGTTGCGCCCAGCTGGACTCGGCACTATATTCAGTGGATCGTGAAAACTCTGATTTTCATTTTTTCATTTCTTATTGGAATACAAACAGTATCTTAGAACTGGTACGTACCCATAACGCGGTACGGCGGACCCTTCTTTATAAGTTTGTAGTCCTCAGGTCCTCAAGTGCTTAAGTTTTCAAACGGCAGTCATGTAAAAGCCACCATAACGCTGAGTGTGTTGAAATGGTGTGTAATATGAAAGAATGAAGCAAGACATCTAGACATAGTGCCATAGAAAGAAAGGTCTTAGAAGAGAAAATGAGGGTATTTCTAGACAAAACACAGCAGAATAGCGGGCTAACTTAAGCTTAAAAATGGACAAATCACTTTGCCTGTGAGTTAGAGGTTCGCAAGTGAAATGACCTCTGGTTTTCCAAATTTTAATCTTTTCATTCCACAAATATCACTTCGAATTCCAATGAACACAAGTTCTTGACGTTTAACGGTCCTCTATTCATCTAACGAAGTTTTGGGCCCAATTTCCGCTTAGAGCCTTCATACTGCACCAGGTAATGGTGTTCGAAAATAGTTTCCACTAGAACCAATCCCTCCTATCCATTGAAACATCGGGCTAAATGAACTATGTTCAGATGTGTTGGTTCGTTTCAAAACTTCCTTGGATCATAGTCATCGGAAGCGTCCTGGTGCAGTCAATATTGATTTTTTTATCAAAATTAGTTAATGGCTGTGTACGCTTTACATATAATGTTTTTGTTCACATTTGTAGTATATTTTCTACTGACATCGAAGCTATAGAGTTTTTACTTACAGATTCTGTATGTAACCTTTCCGTTCATCAGTAAACGTTCGCCCTGGCGATATTTACAGACATTTTAAGTGTTAGTTGTAGCGCAATGACGCAACATAAAGGGGCACAAACGGTGTTTTTTAACCTCACTAGTCAATGAAATCCTAAATTTCATCGGCCTGTAAATGAGAATTAGACCAAGGGATGAAGTGCTGACCCACCGATCGTCATCACTACCATTTTTCAAATTTCCGCCACAAACAATTCATGGAGGTGTGTAGTTACGTGAAGCAGCGCAAAAACTATCTATCAACATCACATTGACCGTTATCGATGTTTTAACATTTTTGAGACATTATAACATTAGACAATACACCACTCATATCATCTCCATCTCCATCACCGTTCTTATTGTACAGTTCACTCACCTGAGAGCTTTAATAAGGTGCACAACTCTGTCTTTATCATTTCCAGTCTCTTCACGGCGATAGTGATAATTAGGCGTCGTCGCTTTATTAACCCAGCTCCCGATGCCTAGTTTTTTTTTTATTGTTACGTGAAACGACGCCTAGATTGGTTACCGATTCGTACAACTTTCATGCCATTAAGACACGCTGTATTACGGCATAATATCTACAATATAATGAACAATGACGGGTATTCGGTATTAGGAGGTAATGCATCACCGCTGATACATTAGGCAGGCTATTTAAGAGAAAAGGCAATAGATCAATTCATGGCCGAATGAGTATACCGACTCGACTACCACTACGGGCTACGGCTGCAGAAGAATGAAAGTAAAAGGATCTCCATAACCCGAAAATCACAGATGGACTATGAAACTGCTTAAGTTTACGGCAACGTACTGTAATCCGGCGTGTGTGGCGCAGTGGTCGGAGGCGCCCTGATTCCCGCGCCCATGGCTCACCAAGCCTTCCATACCTCCGGAGTCGGAGAATTAGCACCAGACTTGTCTGGAAAGATAGCAGCACTGGCTCGATACATCGGTAGGCCACCGCGAGTTATTGTAAAGGCAAGATATGCATTCAATCACCTCGAAACAGTGCTTAATGAAGTCGAATGCATGGTGCGTCCCTCAGGAATTGATCAACGCCGACAGCTTTATCCTTTTTTTTACTGTAAGCCGAAAAAGAAAGCAAGGTGTTTATGCAGCGATTAATCATTAATAGGTAGTCGCGTATGTCCATGGTGTATGTAGGCTTCATCGTGAAACCACTAGTCGTCTACACATTGACTTATACTACTTCCACTAATCGAATGTGTAGGGGCGCCTGCAGCGAAGTGGCCAGAGGTGCTTTCTACTACACGCTGGATCGTTCTCTCGCCCTAGACTTGATATGCCTACCATTATTCCGGATTGGCTGATTGGCCCCAGATTTGTTTGCGAGGATAAGAACACGACTACTTTATCGATAGGTCACCGCAAGTCAATGTATATGCTAGATGTGCGGTTTGTCACCTCTTCGATGATTGATGACGCTTTTTCTTTATCCTTTCACTAATCTATGCGTGTGGAAAACCGAGTATTATTGGAAGTGTAATGTTGCATAATCGGAAAAAATTGTTTGACAATCAACTTTGGGATAAAAACGTTTATACATAGGCACATGAGAGCTTCTTGTCTGTCTACAGGATTAACTGGAGGTCAATGGCATTACTATAAAGGGATGGCGATACAAAAATATTTAACCCCTCCATGGTTCCACTGTAAGAAGGAGTCTCAGTCATCATCTTTGGGTTAGGATTTGATCACTCAAAAAGGTCAAAAATACCAGGCATTGCCGGGCGACTATGTGTTAGTTCTCCGATGAAGAACGCAGGTGACATAAGCCGGCACCGAAAACTAGCTTTCGCATCACCTGTCACTAACGTGATAAGACGGAGGCATTGTGTTCAGTTTGAGGATTTATTGTCATCTTTTTTTATGCGGACGTTCAGTACTGGTTAAGCGTGGTCAACAGTGGAATCTTAAGATAGCGTTACTGAATCGCTCACAAGGATTAACCATGCGATCGCAATAGTTTCCCCTGAAGGATCGTAAGGTACTTTCCTACCTTGCGGCTACAATTCTTATAAGTCGACAGCTGTGCGCACGTTGCTGCAATTATCTCACCAAACCAACCAAATGATATGTAATAATAAATGAGCCTTTGTCGGCTGTTGATAGCATTACGCTGTAATCATCTAGATGAGAAGTGAAGGTAGATTATGGCTATGAATTTGTGCTTCTGATACATATCTTTTCTATGTACATAGATTTATAATTGAAAGGTACTGTTACAAGCATGTCTTGGTGTGTTCGCCTACATGCTAATTGTATCCTGCACACCGATTCGACAAAAAGCCCATGCTCAAGAAACTGCGAAGAACGTGGAAGGTGGTTAGAAATCACCTTCAAGAAGGATGCTCCTCGCCTACTCTGGAAAGAGAGGCAAACGTTCTTTAATTATAAACATTTTATAAGTTTGAGTTTCACATGCTCCTCATAGGGTCACTAAAATTAGTAGAATTAATGGTTTTCGCTTCTCTAACCAAAAAGATTTCTGACACTATGGCATGACCATGGATAAGGTACAAAGTAGCAAAAAAGTTTTAGG